ATGCATGCCACTAAAGTCAAAGCTCACCTTTCCTCAGTGATGCTCAGCTGCACTGCCCAGCTATTTACACACACACTGCCAGTCATTGCCATCCCACATTACTATACACTTACCAGCTTAGCACTCAAACTGCATACCAGCAATTCAAGGAACATTAAGTCTCTAGCATAGAGACTTAGGATAAGTAAGAATTTGGCATAAATTCTTACATAAAAATTAATAAAACCATGTGATTCAGAATTCAGTATTTTTAAAATAAATCCATTTTAAATTTGCATCTCAATCATGAATATCAAGAAACAAAGGTAAGTTTTGTCAATGGTACTAAAAAATGCCCAACTTTCCTACGCCATAATGAGATTTTGTTACACAAAGAAAATGGTAGTGGTAGAATGCTCACCTAACAAGCGTGAAGCCCTGAGTTCAATCCCCAGTACTGCACAAAAAAAAAAAAAAAAAAGAAAGAAAGAAAAAGCTACAACTGGCCAGATTTGTACTCAAATGCTTTTTCAAGGGAAAAATGTTTATTCATATGCTCTTTCTTCATCTCTTTTGTAAACAAAGATTTTCAATCTACTGGGGGATTATAGATGTGGTCCAGGTGTAGGAAGTAAAGAGGGCCACAACTGGATGGAGTCCCATACTTCATCCTAACAGGTTCTCAGAACAATTCACCAGAAGATAGCTCTAGACAAACGCAGTCTAAAAAATTCCAACTCCTCCAGAGAGAAATGTCAGATCCTAGAGCTGAAAGTTCTCTCGTAAATCACCTATCTCCACTTCTCATTTTACAAGGAAAGGGAACTGAAGAGAAAAAAAAAATCTTAGCTCATTTATAAAAAATTCTTCTGAAGACTAGAACACAAATCTAACAATAATAAGGCAAGTTTTCAAAAACAGCTTCACTTTTTTCCTTCAGAATGGCAAGGTGAAATTGTAATTTTCAAATTAATTATACTAAAAAGCAATTGGAAACAGAATACCAAACAGAAATAAAAACCTATCTTACTTAGGGCAAACTGGCTTACAAAGCACAGACTTGATTTCTCCAAAAGTTAATAGATCCTTTTCAATCCCATATACTTTCTATCACATTTTGGTTCCCTTAAAAAAGAATCTACTGCAAAATAAACTGCTTCCAGGCAGCTCCATCACTGGTTGTTTCTGTATTCCTCCTGCTGAAGTGCTCCATGCTGACAATCACAGCTTACAGCTAGTCCAGCACTCATTCTTCCCTTCACTCAAGTCCTAATCAATAGAGAACTAAGAGTGAAGGAATAAAAGTATAATCATGGTCCTTGTTTCTCCTCTGTAGCTAGAATACCAAATGATGAACCTCATGAACAAATAGGAGGAAGGGATAGAGACTGGATAAAAATCTAGGCAAATTCTAATTAAGTTAATTAGTTCACATTTTACTACTTCAAACAAGACATGTCCAAATCTTTTTTCAGTAGTATAATTATGTTGTGTGAACTAAAATAATCAGCAAGTCAAAACATTCTAATGCTACAAGCACAGAAAGTCATTAAATAATCATTTATTGTATATCTACTACATGTAAGAAATTTTGTATGTATTATCTTATAACTAAATAGTAATTTTGCCAACTTGTGGTTGAAAACACAACTATTTTAAAATAAAACAAAAACAGTACTTTTCAAGATCTTTTCTTCAAAGACTCCATCAGCTACAAAAATAAATGAAACAGAGGTCATCCTTACCTGGCAACTAGTTGCCTCTAGTAAGTATTTACAAAAACAAATAAATGAAGAGCCTGGAAATTAAAGCCACAGGAAAAAAATCTCATAGTAACAATCACATACTGAACGTTCACCAAAATGTCCTAGCATGGTCTTAAAAAGCAATGCATATTTTATTACACTTAAACCTGACAATAATCTCATGAAGTTGAAGAACTCAGGCTATATACAGTGATGTTTAAGCAGGAGCACCTGGTCTTGTGTGACAGACTTCGGGTTGTCACACTGAAAGGGATGGGCACACTGGCATTCGGTTGGTGGGAGCCAAGAATATTAAATATCTTGTAAAGTGCTAAACAAACACACAAACTGTCTAAAATGCTACAAAATATTAACACACACTGACAGAGTAAATTGCCAAAATCAAACAGCTAATACTTTTACAATGATATCATTCATTTGCTATATATTAATTAGGTAAGTAGATTACCATTTACCTCACTATTGGTTAGGTATTCTTTAAGAACTCCAATTTTCACTAATCCTTATCTGCAAACATTACATATTGAACATAATTTTCTCACCTAGTTTTCTGAATTTGTTTTGTTTTGCTTTGAACTCAAGGTAGGAGATCAACTTAGGATATGTTTCTGCTGGAGAACTAGTTAAACATGATCAAAATGCACTTGGAATTATAATTCCCCAAGCCTATTTCTGAAAACATTTCCTATTTTTTGCTGTGAAGTTAACTGAAGGAAAAGACTTAATCTAGAATTATTTTTCTCCCCTAGATATCTTTTAGGATATATATTACAGACTATAGGAGTCTAGTATAGAAGAAAACAAAGAAGGATTAAAAGAAACCAGTTACAATAGGGAAAAATACAACAGCAACATCAATAAACAGATTCGTAATAACTATGCATGTTAAATCAATATGGAGCTCTGAAATTAGAATCTATAAATTTAGGTAGCTAATTTCAAAAGATAAAGAAAAAAGAATCTAATATGTATTTTAAACTACATATGTGGAAAACAAGATAAGTATAAAAAGGTATTAGTCATTTTCTATAAATCACAGCCATAATAAAGCTCATAAGCTCATCTGCTACTTAAGCCAACAAAAGGAATGACAAGGTGGAATTACTCGTAGGCAAGCCAATTATCACTCTGAAATGTTCATACAAATCTCATAAAAGAAAAGCAGAAGGAGATTTGGTACATAATTTTCCAAACTTCATTCTAAATACAGTAAGAGGACTCTAAGACAAATTAGTGTAATTGTAAACTATAATTGCACATTCACTTTCATTTACATAATATTAAACTATAAAAATATAAATACTAAAAGTCATATATATGTAGTAATTTTGAACCTTGATCCACTTTTAATAAGCAATCAACACTATGCCTAACATTTTAACTACACCTTTGTGTCCACTGGCTCACTATCCAAATACGTTAGGGTTAAAAGTACTGGCTAAGACTAATATTTAGTTTGTAAAAATAAGCCTTGCTGATGGAACTTATAGTTCAATTATAAAAGGACCAGATCAGTGGTTAATAGAAAAAAAATGTATATTCTATGAAACTGTTGAAACCACACTGAAAAACCAGTAAAAACTTATTTTAGGGAAAAGTAAAATAATCTAAAAATAACTGAGTAAATTCAACTTTGTTTTTGTTTTTTCCTTCTAGTCCAATGATGAAATTATTTTGTGGGGGAGAAAAAAATCCGCTTCCAATTCCTTCTAGAACAATACCCTAGTCTTAGCACTACAGTTTTGCTGAGTGCTAATGAAATTAACTATTCCTATCTTTACAAGGCTAAAACAGGAATCCTACACTACAAAGTCTTAACACTTGGGTTCAAGAATAAAAATATCTAAATAATTGAAGCCAAAAACACATTCTATGTCATCTGAACAAGAGCAGTTCAGACAGACTGTCCCAGAAGATAGACTGTCCCAGGTTCAGATAGATAGGACTGCATATCTGTGCTATTTACTATGGACAGTAGACTTCACTTAGTAACACAGTTCAAAAACACACCTGAAAACTTACATTGGCATTTTGAAGATAGCATACTAAATCAGGAATGAAATTTAAGACATATCCGATATCATATAGTACCTCTTAGAAACATTTTAAAAGATTATAAGTAAAATGGCTGGTACCTGTTTAATTCAAATGCTAATAAATCTAAAATGTAAGTAAGTAAAGCTGTTCCCCAAACCCATTTTTTTGAACAATGGTAATGTTTAGTAAGATCATCTCAATTTTTCTATTTATTAGCAGCATAGTACTTAAATAATATGTAGAAGCTACATATTACTACAAAGGGATGAAGACAGCATTTTCTTTCTAAAACCTTTTGTTTAAATTTAAAAATAAGAATATTTAGTGTAACTATGGTTCAAGGCCATAGTAAAAGCAATCAAATTTTATTTGAAGTTGAATAGCATAAAGAGGAAGTGAGAAAGTCTTCACTGCTTAGATTAAAAAGAACTTCTTGAAAAAAAGTTTTGAAGTGTTTGGGAAAAAATTGTTATGACAAAATTACTATAGATGAGAAATAACCAGGAAAAATAATTCTTTGTACACCAATACCTTAATGTACTAACCTAACAGCTCTTACATGAAATAAATGTAGATGATGAAAGAGAAAAAATGTATCAAGAGACTACATTTATTTCTATGCATTTTACAAGAAAATGTTCTAGAACATCCATAAATATTAACCTTTCATAACTATTCACAGAAAACTAATTTGTTACATTAATATTCTGCTAATGATTTTTCTAGATGGACATGAAGGAGACAACCAAATTCAACTTCAAATCCAACTTCTAATTTATTAGATTAATATATAGGTTGTTAGTTCAGCATCTACCATGCACAATATTTTTAAAAGCCATTAAAAAGTGCACCATACCGCTGTCTTTAAACTTCTTCCATAATATACCCCGTTCAGCAGAGTAGTCATATAAGCACATATATTTCCTCTTAGAACTTCTAGGAGAAAGCAGTACTATAACAAAACTGCAGACCTATATTTCATTGTATGTTTAGCTACTTAACCTGAGAGATGAGAACCACTGCAGCAGCATACAACCCAAGTATACGTACAATCAAGGGAAACCAACACCACATGATTTCTCATAATGTACATCTGATTACACCATTTCTTTGGGATTAAACAGAAATTTTTTTAAATGTAACTAACTAATCAGCAACACAGAAGGACTAAGGATAATAAAGCCAAAGTTAAAAAAAAAAAAATTCAAGAAAGGATACAGCCTTAAAGCACCAGTCTGAGTTCCCACCGCCAGGATCTTCTGTACAGGATCAAAGGCCAGAGCTGAGGGCTGATAGGGAAATCCATGGCGAACAGTCTAGGGATGGCAAGTGACATCACAGCAACCCAGGCGGCAAAGGAGATGTAAAAATAGAAAAGTCAATGGAGGCTTTAGAATTGGAACTAACTGCACCTGATACAACACACATACACATACTGGGTTTTTTGTTTTTTTTTTTTTTCAGTTAAATCTACCTTAACAAAGACATTAACAAAGAACCTGAAACAAACAGAAATCTTTTCCAGTGTTACACTATATTCCATAATATTGGTTTCTATAGACGGCAATTTCTTATTAATACTATTATGCCAAGTAACTCAAGTTTGCAGTGGTCCCAAAGTCCGTAAATTCTTTAAAAATGCGATTGATCCTCTAGTTAAAGCGTAATCGCCACACCACTCTTTATTTGAATGTGAAATGCAAGTACCGCCAAGGAAAAGCTGCGATATAATGAATTACTTTAGTCGAGGATCTGATAAAAACAATTATCCAACCTACATCGCAACATTTTGCAATTGTAACAAATGAAAATGAGTACAAAAACTATTTTTTGCAATGTACTTATTAAGTCCATATACAGGTTTGGAACATGGGAGCAAAAGATATATTGCCCACTTTTAAGAAACTCTGACATAGGAACACACGGCTGTTAAGGGGAAGGCAGGGATTAAGGAAGAGACAAGTTAGTTATTTCTCACCGAGCAGCTGGCGAATTAATTCGCTGCATCATCTTTCTGAATTACAAATGGCAATTACTGTGCCATTAACAGGCAAAACCCACAGGACTAACTTTTTAACCAAACCTCATGATAAAAGAACCGTGCAATTTCCTATTGCAAGCCGCTCAAACTCCATTTTAAGGAAAAATGATGGGCAAAAAGATCTGGTTGAACAGGTTTGCCTTTCCGATAAACAGTATTTATCAGACACTGTTTCCAAGGGAAATTTCGAAGTTAGCGAATGATACTACAATGCTGGGATAGAAACGCTTCCACATTATCGCCAGCAGCGTCAGGATACAGATTAAAGGTCAAATAATGCGTTTGAAGCAGCCTTGAAAATGAACGCTGCATGCAAAAAGGGAAGGGAATTAAAAAAAAAAAAAACAGAAGTAGGATTATCCATCTCCAAAATAACACAGCAAGGAAAGATCTGCCAAAGGAGGCAAGGGAGGAGCGAGTATTTTTTTTGTTTTTAATCAGAGCCACGACCATTATTGGGGATCTCTGCCTTTGCACTCCCCGGTACAGCCTGAGTGACCCCCCCCAAAAAAAAAAAAAAAACAAATAACGACCTCAGCTTCCCCGCGGCGCTCACCTTGCAGAGCTGGAAGTGCTCGGACTGGAGCGTCTCCTGGATCTCGGGCTCCCGGTTCCCCGGCGGGTGCTGCTGCTGCTGCTGCTGCTGCGAGGCCGAGGACGAGCCGGCGGTCAGGCCGTCCAGCACCTTCCTGATGTTGAACTTCCTCATGGTCTCGGCCCGAGAGCGGAGAGGCTCCGGGGTTCCCCGGCCGGGAGGGGACGACGAGCCCAAGGCCGGCGCAGCAGCAGCAGCAGCTCCGCCCGAGCAGCCGGAGGAGGGGGAGCGCGAGGAGAAAAGGAGGCAGCTGGGAGAAGTCCAAGATAATCCGAGCGGAAGCGCCGCGACGGCGACCCCTCTTCCTCCGCCCGAGGCCAAAGCCCGGCCCGGGCGCAGCGGCAGCAGCAACAGTGGCGCGGCTCCCTGAGCCCGCTCGGCCCCGGGCCTCACCTGGCCGCAGGCGGACTCTGCGCCGCGCCGCCGCCCCGGCTCGCCCGCGCCGCGGCCACCGCCGCGTCCATGGCCCCGCGGCCCCGCCGCTCCGCGCCCGCCCGGCCCGCAGTCCCTCGGCGCGTCCTCCCGCTCCTCCTCCTCCTCCTTCTCCTTCTCCTCCTCAGCCCGCGGCAGCGCGCTCGGCCTCCCCGCCGCTCAGCGCCGCCGCCGCCGCCCGCCCGGCATCGCACGCAGGGCGCCCGGGTGGCTGCCCGCGCTGCCGCCTCGCTCCAACGCCGCTTGCCCGGCCCGCCCTCGTCCCTTCGGAGCCCCGCTGCCTTCCGCAGGCGCCGCTGCCGTCGTCCGGCTCTCTGCGCCCGGCTCGCCGCCTGACAGGACGCCTCGGCACACGGCACCAACGCCCGTCGGAGCAGCGGCGGCAGCCGCGGTTACAGCGCCGGCCGCGGCGGTGGCGGCAGCTGGGCCTCCGCGGAGCTGGCTGCCCGGCGTGCGCATGCGCGCCGCAGCCCGCCCCCGTTTCCCTCCACCCCCCTCCCCCGGCCCCCCTACCCTGGAGAAAGAAGCTGGGCTTAAATTATCCTCTGCGAAAATCCCAGACGCCGGCTGAATTTCTCCCACCCCAGCCGCCTTGCCAGCGTATGCAGCTGCTGCTCCTGCAGCGGGCATAGTAAAAATGTTGACGACCCACAAGCAGCAGAAAACCTGGACTTCGGTCTATTAAAACGGGGGGTATGCTTTGATCCTTTCATGGGGTGCACGCTCCCTCAGGGCCACCGGCTGCAATGTTATTGCCGTTGCTTTATTGATGGACTCTGGTTTGGATTGGTTTGTATTAGGGGTTTTGCCTAGGTAACGATTATGTCAGTGTCAAAGAGGTAACAGACATAGAAGGGTACTAGAAAAGGAAAGAAAGTCCAACCTCCCTTCCGAAACAGTTGCAGTTGGTAAAAATGAGTCTGGCAGTGGCGGTGACTGCTAGCAGGGAACAGGCTGCCCAGGGCAAGGGCCTGTGACACGCCACCGTGTATTCGGTGGCAGCAGGGTGGGCGGACACGGCGCGGCCACTCGCTGTCTGACCTCCAGTCTGCCCTGCTAGGAGCCTGTCTGCTCCTCCCAAGGGGACGGGACAGCGGCAGCGGGATGGAGTTTTTGCTCAGACCTGGTTGCTGCCTTACTGGCCCACAGTCTGCCTTCGGATGCTTCTACAGAGCGATGTCTGGCTCGAGTTTGCAAAGGGGGACAGAGACGGAGAGGGAGAGGGAGGGAGAGAGAGAATTTAGAGAATTTAGAGAGAATTTTCTCCAGCTGGGAGGTGCAGGGGGGACTCGTTCAGGGGAATGCGTTCCACGAGGAAAGGCAGCTAGGACGCCGAGGTACAGATTAGGAAGGGTGTGGGAAATAGGAAGGAGGGCAGCGCATAAAGACAAACTCGAAACTAGGGGATGGGGAAGGAGTGGGCAATCTCAGCCACAGCCCCAGCTAGAGTCCCATAAAAAGCCGCAGAAGAGCTACAAAGGCTTGGTTATTTTGCAACCTGTATCAGAAGCACCCGCCCTCTTCTTTGTGATTGGTTGTCTCCTGTCGCGTTCAGGAGATTTTCGTCACTTATTGGTAGATGTGACCTGTCTGCAAGAACAGTCAGCCAATCGACTGGGGCTCATGGATTTCGGGAAATGTAGTTCTCCTGCGATCTTCCGCATCCCAGAACTTTGCCTTCCACTTGGCGCTTATAAAATTATGTTTTGTGACTTAATAGTTAGTGAAGTAGGAAGTTAATTCACAAGACCACAAAACAAATTCTAATACTTTCGGAAACACTTTCCAAGTGGCTCTGAAGTTTTGTTTTGCTACTTTAGTTCACTGAAGCACATTTTGTCCAGTGTGACGCATTGTGCTCAGTACTGAAGATACAAAAACGCAATATTTGCTTTCAACAAGCTCACCAGAGTCTCAAGGGGATTAACGTCACATAAATAACTGTAAGACAATGTGACGAGTTCAGTGGTGGAATACCATACGAGGAGGGCAGAATAGGGCCATTTAATTGGCTAAAGAAGGTCCGGAAATGAGGACCATCAGCATATGCCCGATGAACAGGTTGACCAAGGGACAGGAGGGAGAGGAGGTTTGGAAGGAGCGGGATAGAGAAGCGTCAGAATTACCTGATGAGGTTTTCTAAACACAAATAAGTCTACGATGGAATGTGCAGAAACAGGGACATCATATCCCCTTAGAATTTTATGATCTGCCTTTTCACCCAGACTTAAGATAAATCTGTTGGGCAATTTGTTAGCATTGGATTATAAAACTCTCTGGAGAAATGACAGCTTCTTGCGCAGAGGACTTGTGGTGGAGTGGAAAAATCCCAAATTATTTTGTCTGCCATGAATTTCAATCCATGCCCTGGCAATCTGCGCAACCTTGGGCAAATTCCTTAATTTTCCTAAGAGTCAAATTCCTCATTTGTAAAATGAGATTAATACTACCTTCTCCCTAGGGTTTTATGAGGATTAACTCAGGGATAAAGAGGTAAAATAGGAAAAGGTTGTACTTGCTTAGCGTTCTATCAGTACTCAAAATCCTGTTCTCCCATCAGGATCATTGAGATGAAGGGAACTTCAAGAGGTCACCAACTAAGCCAAGTCCCTATTTTTTACTTTAGAATATTTTTAAATATCATTATCACTCTCATCAGATTATGAGCTCATCCTAGCATTCCCAAATCTTCAGTTTGTAGGAGATGCATGGATGTGCATGTAGGAGAGATGGATGGGGACTAGATTTGTGAATTTGCTATCTATCCCCTCCAAACTCAGGGACAATGGATCATCAGTCCATTCAGTCTAAAACACCAATGCCCCAAATAGTTATCTTTATGATAGCAAACAGAAAATAATGGATTCTCAAGCTCATGATATTTCTTGCAAGTCAGTTTCAGTTGACTGATTTGTTTTTAAAATTAAAATTTCTATTTTAAAAATTTAAGAAATAAATTTAAAATTAATTAAACTATAAACATTTACAATAAAACAAGTACAAATTTAATAACATTATTCCTTTCAAAGTTTAATTCAAAGCTCAGCATTTTACCTGTAGTTATATCTCAGCACAGTTTCATTTTTTGTTTGTTTCATTTCAGTGTTGATCAGCATGTTGATTTCAAACAATTCAATAGCTTTCTGCCTTTGGGCTATGGACAGTTTCCTAAATGGAATTCTTTCTTCCTTGTTTATTGAAAACTGACCCAAGTCATAATGATGTGATAGCAAACCACATAGAGTTACATGTAGATTACATTAACATGAGTCAGGGTGGCACTAAATAATTCTGAATTAATAGATGAAAATAAAGACAAATTTTAAAAATCCACATACACAAAAAGAAAGGCAGTCTACTAAATTATGAGGCATGGAAAGCTAAAAACCAGGAATGCATAAAATTCCTGAATCTGCCAATCCTTATTATGTGGCTTAAAAAAGTTACCAGATTAATGAAGTCTCTGGTATTGATCTCATAGAGCAAACTGGATTCTGATTAAGATAAAGTGGAAACTGAAAATAAATATTTTAATGAGAAATTGTTCGTTGGCTGAAACTTTCTGGAAAGCAGACCAAACCTACATTACTGGTTAGCATTCATTTTTATTGACTTTTTGTGACTTAATTTCAGTTTCATGTAAGCATGACAATAATTGATTCGCTATCCCATTTAACAGAGTATTACATTTAAATTTTTCCTAAATTGCAGTATAGATGTTAATTACTTGGTTTTCTAAATGGGTTTGCTAGACACTGATGAAGTGATGGGCCTGGGCAACTAAGTTTTAGTCAGGTGACCCTGTTTCCTGATGCCAAGCCATTGGATCAAAGGTAGGCATATGAAATAAACCAAGCCAACAATTTTCCAGCAATTTGGAACTAGATTATAAAGTTGACAATTCGACTGGTCTAGGAGGAAGTCATGTAGGGACAGGGCTACATGCCATGATTTACGTCATGTACAATGAACTTGAGATTGACCATTCTTACATGGAACATAGGAGGATGAAGCCAGTGACCACCAGCAATTCCAGGGAGGTATAAAGTAGGATCTCTGTTCCTGATATGCCTGTTCCCAGGCTTTGCTGCTTGTACAGTCTTCCTTCTATATTTTCTTTCCTTATTTGTGTAAGTTAGTTTGAACATGTTTCTTGTTTTGCAATCAAATATTCTGATAGAAATTTAGTATCAACCTGCATCCCAAAGTAAAAGACTGTAGGGATATTATAGCTGTCTTTCACTGTCATTTCTACCTTCTACTGTCCATTCCCCCCTATAGTTAAGAGGATACTGCAGTAACCCAGCAAGGGATTGGTAGTTCAGACCAGAATGGTTAAGTGTGGCAGTGATGCAAAGTGGTCAGATTCAGGTCAGTCAGATTCTGGGTAATATTTTAATGGCAGAGCAAGAGGATTTGCTGATGGCATAGGGACTTCCAGAGAAAGAGAAGAGGCCAGGACAATGCCTCAAATTTTAGCCTGCACATTTCAGAGTGACACTGTAACTTAATTTTCACATTTATGACTCTTGGGTAATTTCCAGTTACCATTTGTACCTTAATGGACTCAACAAATATCATCAGCTAAATACACAGACCCTTGTCTGGGAACAAGAAATCTGATCTAACATATTGTGGCTCTGTTCTTTCTAGAAACACAGAGCATGCAGACTTTAGTGAGCCTTCACAATTCCACAGAATACTCTGTCACTTTAATATAATTTGTAAGAATAACATTAAACTATAGGCAAAAATGTCTAGATAAATTTCAGTAAGTTCAAGTAAAGAGAAAATTCCAGAA